GTGATGTGGAACAGGATTTTCGCTTCGTGCAGGACGAGATGTGATGCCTCGTTCGCCGTGCCCCTACGTCAGCCATCACACCTTCAACCTTCAAGGACTCGCTCACCATTCACCGCTCGTTCAATCCACCTTCAACTTCAGGGGCATCACCTTCTCTGGCGTCGTAATGCTAGACTCTGGATGCTTCACCTGCATCTTACCAATATCTCAGTTACCCAAAGAAGCCAAGAAACACATGACCCGCTCCAATGTCGTAGTAAAAGGAATCAAAGGCAGCACCACCGCCCTTGGCGAACTGACTTGCGACATCACCATCGGCAGTCGAGACACCCACATTCAAAAAGATTAATGTGCTGGTAGCTACCCAAACCACACCGATTCTGATCGGCCAAAATATCCTATGTCACAACACGCTCGATTCCTATCTAATCGACAACCAAAATGCGACTATAGAATACAGACACTTTCCTCAGGATATACAACACACACAGCCACAATCATATCACCGTCATCGTCAACCAACAATCCAGCATATGGCGCCCAAGCTGACGTCATCCAAAACCAGCCTACTATGGAACTACAGCCCAACATCCAGACACTAGATCAAAAGCTAACCTGGCTAAAGCATAGCACGGGGCTATCGCTACCAAACCACCCGAACCGAGACGAGCTAGAGGCCACTGCAAACTTACTCATTCGCTACACTGACATTATCGGCACCGAAAGCAGCAGCAAAGGCACATTCATCCGACCCATCCGCATACCAACCAACGGCCAGTCTCGCAGCCAGAAACAACACCCGATCGCCCAGGCTTTCGAAGCAGACGTTGATACCGAAATTAAGCGCATGGCCGATGAAGGTATAATTGAAAACTGCAGCGACCCCAAAGGCTTCCGTAACCCTGTATTTGCCGTACGCAAGAAAAACGGATCGATTCGCGTCGTCGCTAACTTTAAAAGAACTCTCAACAAGGTCTTAGTCGATCTTGGCCCTTACCCAATGCCAAGGATCGACCACTTGTTCAACAAAATCGGCAAAGTCAATAGATATTTCACTTCCCTCGATCTACGCAGCGGCTACTGGCAAATTTGAGATCGACAAGCGAGACCGATACAAAACAGCATTTACATGGAAGGACCAGTGCTATCAATACACGCGCCTGGACTTCGGCCTTACATCTGCCGGACAAATCTTCTCCCGTTGCATAGCAGAAGCCCTAGCCACGGTCACATCCCGTGACAACATTTCTTCCTATATCGACGACAACCTGGTCCACACTAGGACATTTAGGGAGTACATACTCTCCCTCGAACAATTTTTTACTGCCCTCCGAAAATTCGGACTCAAGCTGAATCCAGATAAATGTTCCTTCCTCGCATTAGAGGCAAAATTCCTCGGATGCATAGTAAACAGCGAAGGATTCAATGCTGATCCAGAATACGTTCGTGCCTTCAGGGAAATGAAGCCTCCAACATCAAAAAAGGAATTACAAAGCCTTATCGGCCGTTTAGTGTGGATCAGACAATTCCTACAGACACGTCTTTACGAAAAAATCAGGTCAGATATGTTTTCAAAACTTATGGGTCCCATACATGAACTCAACAGGGTTAATAAATCGTTTATCTGGACGCAAAATGCCGACAGAGCCTTCAAAACATCAAGGACCGTCTCTCTTCCCCACCCGTCATCTCGTTTCCGGATTTCTCCAAACTTTTCACACTCACCACCGACGCCAGTGACGTCGCATGTGGAGAAATCTTAATGCAAGAAGCCGACAACGGGAAGAAAGATATCATAGCGGTCGCTTCCCATACATTCAACTCCACGGAACAGAACTGGTCCACGACGGAACGAGAGGCATATGCAGTAAAGTGGGCAATATTGAAATTTGATTATTTCCTTCGCAACCGCCCCTTCGTCATCTTCACCGACCACAGATCGCTAGCATATCTGAACCAACGAGAGTTCAATAATGCCAAAATACGACGATGGCAAGAAGAAATTTCATGTTAGAATATGTCGAAGGTGAATCAAATGTGTGGGCTGACATGCTCAGCAGATGTTGCGGACATAAGAAAACGAAAGCCCCGAACGACCCTACACCGGCAGGTAGGACATTCGAGGTAAGTGGTTCAGACCTCCGCGTATACATCCCATCTTGGTGCCTCGGCGAGTTTAACGGCTTACAGCTCATTCCCAAAACTCACACACCACAAAACGCCTGCACCCACAAGCGCGTCACCAACGCATTCTTCGCCTATCACTCTACCACCACCATCCCCACTGAGAGAATCTGCAACCACCTCGGCATCGCAAATGAACAACAGAAGGACGACAATTCTGTAACCACATGTCAATCACGCAAGAACTTCACTGTCCTTGGAGCCCCGCAAAGCTCAGGAAATATCGAGAGACAACATCGCACCATGAAAGACGCACTTTATATGTTATGCGAGGACAGGAATTGTGAATCCACTGGGTAGATTGACCCAGTGAATAAAGACATTGATTGGATCTATTAACTAGACCCAAAGAGTTGTGAGTCAAGCCAAAACAGTGGTGAACCAAGAACTTGGAGAGTTGAGTTAAAGGGAAATAACTGAGACACCCGAAAGAGGCATGGCACATGGAACTAGAACAATCAACCCCAGTGAACGAAATAAAAGGTTCGGTTCGATATTCCAATCACCTGAAGAAGGCCGGAGCGTACAACGGCCGAAACATTTTGAATATGGCAATGAAGATGAGGATAACAGTCCGAATAATGTAAATAACGCAAGTAATCATTATACTTCATCTCAGAGATATAGACAGATATTGAAGAATTTCTACAAGCATTTAATCTCACAACATTAAATAGTATCTGTTCCTCCGGGCTTAGGGTGGAAGGCAAAACTGAATGAAACTGGCAGATAAAAGTGGGAGCAACAAAAAAAAAACTACACGAGACGAGCTAACAAATATTTTATTTTAAAATCTCGTTTATTCTCCTTTTGCTCCCAGAATTCCCGAGTGGGACCTGAAATTTTTACACAGTGATGTTATGGAACATTATGAAACAGAAAAAAACACCCATTGAACTGTAGAATGCGGGTTTTTTATACCCTTTGAATTTATGTGACTAATAATTTGTCCTCTGTAGAAAATAAGGGTAAAAAGAGCATTGACGCGACGGTGATAGAAAACAGGACAACATCAAACTTGAGTGGAAAAAAGAAAGGCTTTATATCAGAAAGAGGAAGAAAGAAAAGGGAAGAGGGAAAAATTGGATTTAAAAATCGTTGCAAAAAACGAGGACTTAACTGGTGGCAATAAAGTTCGTTCGGTTAACAGTTCTCATTTTTGTTGCAACGTCAGAATATATTCGTTTTCAGGTTGAAGAAGGATTAAGTTTTCAGATGCTTTGCTGTAATTGTTGGGACATCCTCGTTCCTGTGTTGTATTCTTGGCTGTTCCATTTTTGGGTACCATATGGCTGCTGGTTGAGTTTTACGGAGCTAAATTAGTCCGTGTTGACTCGTCGGTGGCCCAGGAAAAAAAAGTGGCCGTGATAGGCTGCTTTCAGCCCAACCCAGGGGCCGGTGACAACGACCCCTACAAAGAGAGGCAATTCATTTATATATATAATATTTTCAATAGTAGTATATTGTGGAATTTTTAAATTTCCACGGTCGAATTCTTTCAAAAAAAAAAAAAAAAAAAAGAAAAGTCCCTATAATTTTGATAAACGTGGCGAGTATGCGCTACAGGTTTCCAATGGACGAGTTTGTTGGTCACCAGTATGTAGTGGGGGTTGCGAGTTTGTAACGGATACAATTGTTTAAGAATTGTAACAAAAAGATTGATAAGTTTCAAAATTAAATAATTCAATATTTTCAAAAGAAATAACTTTCGTTTATTCATATATTTTTATACAAAGAACTACATAGCTCACAAAAGAAAGAAAGAAAGAAAAATATATTTACGTGTGTACAGACAGTTAAAAAACAAAGAAGAAAGAAAGTATGTCCTTAGCGGTAGTGTGTGGTGTACACGTGGTTTGTTTGAAATTAACAAGTCGGTTTGCCAGAGGAATAAATCACCTCTAGCTGAGATAATTCCGTGTTGTCACTACTCTATCTCGTCGCAGAAAAAGTAGGGGAGAGTGTGCTTATGTGTCTTCCTTATATAGTGGGTGGCCTAGCAGACAAGGTAGAATAAACCTTACAGAATAATTCATCTTTTCTTGGTTTTCGTTAAACTCAGATGGCAAAATAAACATGTGACATTTTGATATCTTTGAGGATATTATTTCCAATTTCTGATAAATGATTAAATGTATGGGATGACATATCATCCAAAATATATCCACATTTTGAACAATTATAAGAAATATGGATTATTTAAAATTTAAGTTATTCTAATTAAAATGTAAAAATAAAAATTGAAAAATCTTGTAAAAATTCATTATTCATCGAAAAATTTTTTTTTTTTTTAAGACAATAGTATCCTTAATATATCTTATTTATAAAAACAATGAAAACCTTTCTATTTAAATAATGTTTTTTTTTAGTTTGACTGCATTTTTTGTTTGACGTATAGGGAGACCACAGTAAACCTCCTCGTTCCTTTGGGACAATATGGACAATCATTTTTTGGGGGACATATGTAAATCTTTTGAATATATGTACGTGCGTTGTTTGCCTTATTAAATGTTTTATTTGTTTTTGTTTCGTCTTTCTATATTCGTATTCAGTGTTAGTGTATCAATGGCTACACTAATGCTAATATTAGTATCCGTGTGATACTGGAAGGCTAAAACACGTTATTCTTCCTAACACAAAAGAGTCGGTAAACTCTGTGTGGCAGATACCACCATACTAATAAGTGGTGACTCCAACGTGGCAGTATATTTTTGCAATTTGTAAAATAACTGTTAATGTTAACTTCGTGTGTCAGAGAGTTTTTTTTTTCTTTCGACACAAATAATTTGCGATATAGGAATGACGACTTGTATAACATGGCAACATGGCTTCCCTCTCCCTCGTGTGCTTCTTCTTCTTCCATCCTGTATTTGAATTCGGCGCCGGCCAGCAACGTTAGACTGCCTCACTCTTGGAGGCAGGCTGGTCAGTAGCTTACTGCTAGAGTTGACAACACCAATTAGTGGGAGTAGGAAGTTGGTAGTGGTAATAGCAGTGATAGCCACTTCTGACTTTTTGTTTAAAATATTTAGGTTCGTTTGTTTGTGTTTTTCTCTGTTGTACTTCACATTGTGAGGCGTATTTCTGTGTGGTAACTATCCCCATAAAGAATATACGATATAGATGAGGAAAAAACGGCCGCTGTGTCGGCGATGAACACTGTCAGCCTAGCCTACTTTAAAGCGAACTCAGCTTTATTTTTCGCACAGTTAGAGTCAGAGTGCGAACTGAGATGAATTACCTCTCAGAAAACAAAATTTAATTTAGCGGTCTCCAAGTTGCCTCTCGAAGCTGTCCAGGAGGTGAGAGAAATTATTATCTCTCCGCCGAAAGACAAGCCATATTACAAGTTAAAAGCGGAACTTGTTCGGAGAACGTCTATATCACGACAAAAGAAATTGTCGCAGCATTTGCATGAAGAACAATTGGGAGACAGCAAGCCGTCGTAATTTTTACGTCGTTTGCAGCATTTAGCCGGAGAAGGTACTGAGGATGGCATTATACGTCATATTTTTCTCCAGCGTTTGCCCTCTGCGTATCGCGCCGTTTTAGCTGCGGTGGGTGAAGATGCATCCGTCAAAAAGCTGGCTAAAATAGCAGATAATGTAGCTGGCCTAACTTCGGGATGCACTGCTCCCGTTTCTGCCGTAGAGACGCAAGAACCAGATCCGCTGGCTAGACTCTTGGAGGGACAACGAAGGTTAGAGGCTAGAAAGAAGACGGTTGCAGAAGGTTAGCATTCTCCGCTCCCAAAGTAGAGGTCGTGCAAGAGCTGTTAGCAAGGACCCAATGTGTAACTTACACAGGAAATTCAGAGATAGGGCTAATTATTGTAAACCCCCCACCCTGTTCCTTCAATTCACAACAGGGAAAAGCCTAGGCTGTCGACCGTAGGCGACTCGGTGCGCCGGCGTGGGAGAGGTTTGTCGCTTACTATTTGTTTCGGACCGCACTACTGGTATACGTTTTCTTGTGGACAGTGGTGTGCCAATATCCTTAATTCCTGCCACTCGTGCAGACAAGTTAAAAGGCCCTCACAAACTTACCTTACAGGCCGTGAATAAGTCGCTCATCCAGACTTATGGTCAGAGGTGCCTTACATTGAATTTGGGTCTGAAACATATATATATATAACACACCATATTGCTACTAGCGGTCCTCCTATTCACAGCCGACCTCGACGTCTGGCACCGGAAAAATTGAGTGTGGCGAAAGCGGAATTTACCCAAATGATGGAACTTGGTATTATCCGGCCATCAAAGAGTAACAGGGCATTTCCTTTGCACCTGGTACCCAAAAGTGGTGGTACCTGACGCGCTTGTGGTGTTTATAGGGCACTCAACTCTGCCACTAAACCTGACCGTTATCCCAATCCTCTTATACATGATGTAACGGCCATCATTCAGGATAGGTGCATATTTACTAAATTAGACCATCAAATTCCGGTAGAACCCGAACACATTCCAAAGACTGCCATAACAACACTATTTGGGTTGTTTGAGTTTCTGCGTGTGTCATTTGAACTAAGAAACGCAGCACAGTTTTTCAGAGATTTATCGACCATGTATTGCACGGTTTGCATTTTGTCTGTGCCTACGTGGATGATGTCCTTATAGCCAGTTCTTCCAGCGATTTCAGAAATTTGGGGTTGTTATCAACCCAGTAAAGTGTGATTTTTGAAAGTCTGAAGTTATTTTCCTAGGTCACTGCATTAATTCAGCTGGAGTTTCACCTTCTCCATCTAAAGTGGCGGCCATTTCTGACTTTCCCGTGCCAGATACCATGAGAAAGTTGCGACAGTTTTTAGGGATAGTGAACTTTTTTTTAAGGTTCCTGCCAAATTGTGCGCAGGTTATAAAACCTTTGACAGATATTCTAACTGATGTCAAAAATTGTGACATAGTTTTGTCTGATGAAGCCTTGGAAGCCTTCCATCGAATTAAGGTTTTATTGTCCCGAGCAATTGAATTGTCACATGTTGTCCCAGATAGCGAGTTGTGTTTGGCAGTTGACGCCTCTTCGATTGGTGTGGGTGCAGTACTACAGCAGAAGATCGGTGACCACTGGAAACCAATTTCCTTCTTTTCCAAGAAACTAACTTCTACGGAATCCAGATACAGCACATTTGGACGTGAACTTCTCGCAGCTTATTCAGCTGTCCGTTACTTTCGACATTTGTTGGAAGGGCGGACTTTCTACTTACTGACAGACCACAAGCCCTTGTTGGGGACTTTTCAGTCAAACTCTGACAAGTATTCCCCACGTGAAACCAGACACTTGGATTATCTGTTACAATTCACTTCAGATATCCGTTTCGCCAAGGGAACGGACAACATACCTGCAGACACTATGTCTCGTGGCATAAATGCTTTTGTGCTGGACCCGTGCTTGGAGCATCAATCATTTGTGGAAGCACAGGAAAAAGATCAGCAACTACAGCATCTGCTACGAGAGAACCATACATCCTTGACGTTGTCGAAAATACATGTTCCAAACACAGAATTGGAAGTTGTATGTGACACCAGCACCGGACGATTGCGCCCCTTCGTGCTTGAGTCAATGCGGTAGACGTTATTCTCCTCCATGCACAATTTGTCCCACCCAGGAGCTAATGCCTCAATACGGCTGATTACAGACAGATTTGTTTGGCCACGCATGAAAACTGACATTCGGCAATGGTCAAAGACTTGTGTGTCGTGTCAGAGGGCCAAAGTGGGGAGACATACCCGTTCACCTCCTGGAGCCTGTCCATCACCCGACGAGCGGTTTGCACATGTGCACGTGGACATCACAGGACCACTCCCTTCATGTGAGGGACAGACATATCTATTGACATGTGTTGATCGTTTCTCCCGTTAGTGTGAGGCTCTTCCCATGTCGGACATTACGGCACATACCACTGCAAAGACTTTTATTTCAGGGTGGGTTTCCCGTTTCGGGGTCCCTACTTTAATTACTACAGACAGAGGGCAGCAATTCGAGTCAGACCTGTTCAACCAACTGATGTGGATCTTGGGGAGTAAAAGAATCAAAACCACCGCTTATCATCCCGAGGCTAATGGCTTAGTGGAACGGTTTCATCGTACACTTAAATCAGCTTTAAGGGCCGTGACGGATCAGGCAAATTGGCTGGAGCATCTACCGTTGGTTCTTCTGGGACTCCGCACTGAGGTTAAAGACGATCTTAAGTGTTCATCTGCTGAGATAGTTTATGGCACCACACTCAGAATCCCAGGACAGTTTTTCCTGCAACCTCCACAAAAAGTTTTGAACTTGACCTCGTTCATTGATCAGCTTACCGCGAGCATGGCGAATTTGGCATATAAGTCTTCTGCGCAGGTTCAAAGGCAGATATATGTGCCTAAACTACTGCAGACATGCACACATGTTTTTGTGCGGGACTTGGCTAAGTCCCACACATTGCAGCCAGCCTACAGGGGACCCTTCAAAGTCCTTGAGAGACATTCGAAATATTTTATGGTGAGCGTTAACAATGCAACACAAAACATTACTATGGACAGATTAAAGCCTGCCTTTTTGCACACTACCTGGCTCAGCATGGACACTTCAGTGATTCCTCGATCACCAGTACCACTGGAAGTAGTAAAAGAGACTGTGACCAGATCTGGCTGTCGTGTTAGATGGCCCAAATTGTCATAAGTCATTTTCAGGTTTTGGGTTCAGCAGAACCATAACTGGAGGATATTCCTCACTCCACATCGAAATCTTCCTTTTTCATTCGATTGCAAAACCATGTTTCTTTAAATTTGTAATACATGTTGTGAAGTTTTGTTTTTGTTACATTTTTGTTGTACCTCTAGTGCAGGTTAATGAACCTGTCTAGGGAGAGGGTACTTGTAATGAGACCACAATTGTTTTCCCTTGGGTTGAGCTCATGAGAGTTTTGGCCCCTTCTAGAGAGTAGAACTCTTCTGCCCCTTTTGTCTTTGCTTCCGTTCTTGGAGGAACAGCCTCTTTACCTTCCTGTCCACCAGGGTGTCCACACATATGGAAACTGGTCAACATGTGTACGGCCTAGCGAAAGAAAAAGGTACTTTCTATTCACTTATCTGCGGACGATCAAAGGCCATAAAGTTGGTATGTTATTTCTTCGTTCTCGTTCTGTAAACCTCCTCGTTCCTTTGTGACAATATGGACAATCATTTTCGTTTTGGGACATATGTAAATCTTTTGAATATATCTACGTGCGTTGTTTGCCATATTAAATGTTTTATTTGTTACGCTCGCGTATTTCGTTTTTCTATATTCGTATTCACTGTTAGTGTATCAATGGCTACACTAATGCTAATATTAGTATCGGTGTGCTACTGGAAGGCTAAAACACGTTATTCTTCCTAATGTGGGGTTCAGCGTACCCGGATTAAAGGAGAATTTAATACGGGATACCCTGCCCACAAAATACAACGCAAATTTCAAGAAGAAACAATACGATAAGGAACGTTTATAAAAAATAGAACATTGTATATTTATTATCTTGTGGATAGGGTAAAAAAGATTAATGTTTTAGTTCGTTTAAGCCAAACTGTGATTTGTATAAAAATGTCTGTGTTCGCTGTCTTTTAACAGAGTAGCAGAATAATGTCTGTTTCTTTTGTTTTGTATAGTTGTAAAATGAAAAAGGGGCGAGCAATTTAAGTTGAAAAAGAGTGTGAATAAGGAATAAAGATAAAAGGAAAATGTACTTATGAATTGTTTTGGAGTCAGTTGTAAATTTGTTGTTGTTGTTCCTTCCTACTCCACTTTTCGTGTTGAGTCAGTGATGGAATTTATTGTCAATCTTCTGTGATCTTTTGTGCCCTTCTCTGACTGACTGGCGACTGACTTGAAAACTCTGTATTTATTGTTGACTTTTTTTTCACACTGGCTCGTTATCTTTTCTTTTTGGTTTAGCAAATCGCCTCCTTTCATTGGTCAGAAAATTAATTTCACACCTTATTGTGAAATCTGTTTTTGGTCGTTCTGATCCGATTTTGCGGGTGTGCAAATCTACTTTGTGTTTTTTTAGTCATTTGTTGGAATATAGGATTTAGATCCTATACTAACACAAAAGAGTCGGTAAACTCTGTGTGGCAGATACCACCATACTAATATACGATTTAGATCAGATTTTCCGCAAATGAGTAACTATTTTTTAAATAAAATTGATTTACATTCTCCAAGGAGTCTTGTTTTAACTGAAGAGAAACAAAATTTAATTTCTAGAAATTTCATTAAGAATGTGTTGTCGGGAGGCGGGGTTATTTAGATACAAAACATTTCTACCAAGATTTTCTAAAAACAAAACGTTTCAAAAATAATTTCATTTGTTTGTGAAAAAGCCTTGAAAGTTATTTGATTACTTGATTTTTACAAGAATTTCCAAATCAATGTTTTTTTTTTACCGAAAAAAAAAAACAAAAAAAAACGCTAAAATTTCCTGTACTCATCTTTGTTGCCCTCGCTGACGCAAAAAAGATTTTTAATCAAAATTACGAACGTGCTAGAAAGGCTTTAAAAAACTGATAAAATAATCAAAAGATATTTTGATATTTCCTCTTATTGATAATAACATTGTATTTTGATGATAAAACTTTTAATTTTAACAAGTTTAAGACCTCATCATGCTACTCTTTTCTTTCTTTTTTTTCAGCGAATTATTGAACGTAGATTAACAGATATTTCCTTGAAGATCAGCTTTGAATTTTAAGAATAACTGTTTTTTTTCAATATGAAATTGTGATTTTTAAATATACCCCACTTAGCAAAAAATCATTTTCCGCTATTGTTTAAAAAAAAAAAGAAATGTTTTAAAATATCTACTTAAAGACCCCCCCCCACACACACACACACTTTTTTTTTTTTTTTACTCATTCACTCTTGTCTTTTAATAGTAACATTAGCAATAACACCGTTATTTTTTAGTTTCTATGGCTGGCCAAAATTTCCAAAACGACTTTTTTTTTTGTCGTCAGTTCCCACGCCGTGCATATCGAGCATGACAAATTTCCCCGGTATTCCCCCATTTTATTTTTAAAGAAAAAAAAGTAAAAATTAAAGCAGCAGAAGGTGTTATATCTGTTCTAAAGAACAAAATTGCTTTAAAAAACTAGGTAAGTTTTTTTTCCCCTCTTTATTACGTCTCCTTTCGGGAGAAAAATTTTAATTTTTTTAAAAGTTTTGTTAGAACTTGAACGTAAAACAAACTACGACTGCATCGCTTACTGTGTTCGGTTACAATTGTGACTTGCACTTGATCGATAAATTGAATTGCTTAAAAATAGTTTAAGTTAAATGTTTTCCATTGTTTACTTTACTTACTTCATTAATTATAGACAATAAGTGATTAGCTGCAAAAGAAATGAACTTTATGGTAAAGTAACAATTAAAAAAAAAGACATTTGTAATTCAACGTATCGTCAGATTTGTTGAAGTTTGTTGAGATTTTCAATTCCTCTTTTCTTTTGCTACAAAATTAATTTTTTAAAAAAGGTGGGGTTGAAATTATCAGGTGATAACTTTTAGTGTTGTTAATTAATAATTTCTAAAAGTTTTCACTTTTCATTATTTCAATAAAAAGTTAACTTGAGTTTTAAAATGTTAATCGTCGAAAAACAAAAACTGTTTCACTTCCTTGTTTTCATTTTTGCAATTTCACCGACATTCAATATTTATTCTAAATTTGTAATATTTATTAAATACGAACTGAGTGTCTAAATTAATAACAAAACAGAAAATTCGCAATTAAAAATTTTAAAAATGTACAATCTGGGAATTATTCTTAGTAAAGAAAAAATGAATTTAAAAATGTCTACGTGACTGATTTCATTTTTTTTTCTTTTAAAAAACCTTAAGTGGTTTGTGTGTGTGTGTAATAATCTGGAATAGGAGTTACCGTAGTTTAATTTTCTAGGGCATTCACTATTATTCACTTATTAAGTGACTATCGAATTCATTTATTTTAAATCCAGTTTATCGACCATTTGTTTACAGTGACACTTACACATCATGATGAAGCACCTAGATTGGGTAAGTCAAATTTTAGTCAAAATTTCAAGTTGTGTTAATGTTTTTTTCGATGCTTGTTGAGGATTTTTACTTTTTAATATTAACTTAACTTTTGATAATGACTTTTTTTTTAGTTTATCTTCTCTTATTCATGTTATCCATAAATACGGTCAGTACTTGTCGATTTTTGCTGCAACTTTTTGTAAGAAAATATTTTTTCTCATCTAAAAAAAAATTCATTATCTTCAAGAATTAAACTGCAGTTAAAAGTGAATGCGGCAATGATTTTTAAAAATATATTTATAAAAAAAAATAGTGATTTGTTCATTTTACTTTTCTTTAATATTCGTAGGTGACTATTTTTTTTTATTTCTCATTTTTAAAATTGAAGCCCGTGTTTTAGGAAAATCAGTGGCGAACTAAAAGTAACTTTTTCTTTCTAACATCATAATTTTTTGTCATTATTGTTTAAGAAATTCAATTCATTTTTTTCCGTGTAACTATTAAGCCGAGGATAATTGTTTTGGTAAAAAAAAAATTGTTTAAAAAAAGTTACTTCCTAAGCGGGCGACGATTCGTTACTGTTTTTTTTTATTTTTTTTTATTTTTTTATTTATTTATTTTTTTTTTTCAAGCGTGCTCGGTAAACGGTTGTCAAGCCAAATCTGAAGACCAGCTCGCATTAAAAATTGTATATAATGAAAAAAAAAAAGTTACCAGTTTTATTATAAATTTGTCATTTGCAGGATAACTATATAATATATAAATTTCGTAATATCCTGTAACTTTCATTTACTAATTGCCACAGGTATAGAGACCCAGTGAGGATCGAACTCTCTACCCCCAGCAACTATCATTACCACTCTGTGTCTTGTATTTTTTTTTTTTTTTTTTTTAGTAAAAAGTTTTCGACTCGAAAAATAGCATATTTTGAGTTTGTTAGCAATAGTAATAAAAAAAAAAAAATCCGTAATATAACTTTTTTTTTTTTTTTTTGTTAGTTTCTTTGTTGAAACTAGTTTAAAAATTCAACTCCACGTATGTATAGAAAAAAAAAAAACACGGCTTAGTGGATAAAACCGTTGTTTGGATCCAGTGACTTGACCCAAAGAGTTGTGAGTTCAATACCTGGCTAGAGCAGAGGTGAACAAAAACTTGAAGAGTTGAGTTAAAGGGAGACAACTGAGAAATCCGGAAAAGGCATGGCATGAGGAACTAGAACAATCTACTCCAGTGGATGAAATAAAGGGCTCAGTTTAAAATTCCAATCACCTGAAGAAGGCCAGAGCGTACATCAGCCAAAATGTTGTGAATATTAATAAAGAAAACAACAGTCTGAACAATGTAAAACAAAAACAAAACAACTTGTGCTACTATACGTGACTCCAGGCATCGAGTGAGGGGGTCTTAAGATATATAAACAGCAAATACTTAAGACTAAGAGAGAATATTGTATAAATATCAACTTTATATACTTACCCATGAAACTTTTTATTATTTGCTGTGTCATTAATTGTAAAATAAAAATAGTTTTAAGTGGAAAAAATGGATAGATAAATAAATTTAAGGTTATGATTTATTTATTTTTATTTCTAAGTGAAGTCAGTCAGCCATAAAATGATTGATTAAACCGAATGAGTGATGCAGGAAGGTGATTGACATCATAGAATAAGAATGCTCTTCCTAGGTAATTTAAAACTCAGAGAAAGAAAATTTAATTGTTAGTCTGTGTGCTTATGCAAAAAAAACTACCTCTGTTTTGATAAATTTGGTGCTGTTTTTATAAATTTTTTATTTTAGTTCACCCAATATGAGGCCCAAGGGCCACTCAAGATGGTGGTTTACTGAGTGAGTTTGTTATAAGGAAGAAGTAAGAAGTGAATAGTATGATGATATGTAGGATCGTTTTTATTTGACCCTGGATGGTAACAATTATAGTCTTCAAGGAATCATTCTCTTGGGAGTTTGTTCCACAAAATAAAAGTTCTGTGGAAGAAGCTGTTAAAAATGTTGTAATTTGGTTTGAATTTGGGTAGGTGCTGTGTGTTAATGAACAAAAGCAGAAAATATCTGTCTATATTTCTGTGACAAGTTATTATAATTATTTACAATGGCTGAAACGTTGTAAATATGGCAACAATAAAAGTGGGGACAACAGTCCAAACACTCTGTAAATGGTGTAAAAGCTGAAAGAGTTGAATTAGTTGAGAAAATAGACAAATAAGAGGGTGAAACAAAGTGCAATACAAATTTTTATTCTCGCAGGAATTTTGTGTGGAGAAAATTTCAAGGGAAGTTCCTGAAAAAAGTGCAAATTCAAGAAATGTACAAAATGAAGAAAAAATTGAACTTACTCGGTTGGTGAATTAGTGATTGAGGTTGTATTGTCTAAGCCATGTTTGTCTATTGCATGGAGTGCTAATTTTGGCATCCTATCACAACCTCAACCTGAAGTGAAAAAGCTAACCTCTTAGGATTCACAGCATTGCATGCTTCCAGGTTTTTTCTTTTTATGCATGCTGAGAAGCTGAAAAGGAATTACCGATACATTCATATTAGGCAAAATGGTTTAATGTCTGCTATAGAGGGAATAAGATGATTTACCACTGTGAACATAGTATTCTGGATCCTAGCTGTGGAGATCTGAGCTGGTAGGACTAAAGAATATAACTCCTTAGAACATTTGCCATAGCAATAGCAGTAGAGTAATGAGAGAATAGAAACATTTTATCTGTGTTTTTGTGTGAATTTTTAATGTAATATTTCAAGATGGTTAGTATATCTCCCAAAATTAATTGCTTAACCACTTTAAAGTTATTATTTATGAAAGCAATTAAATTCTTAATATAACCTTCTGGAAATACTTGGGCAGACTTGAGGAATTGTTCAATTCCATATTTGCATCTACTTTTTTTCATATCTTTTTCAGATATTGTACAAAATTTTTTTATTTTTATTCACAAAAGATGACATGCAAACATGATTTAATTTTGTTAAACATGATTCATGTAACTCTCTACAGCTGCGTTTCTCAACATGTTTTACCTAATTGCTGAGTACACTTGTTGAGTAACTAAAAACTTTCATGCACACTTTAAATTTTAATAAGGGAAAAATTGTCATGAGATTTGAAAATAGGAAAATAATAAAATTTCCAAAAATTAGCGTTTAAGATATGCTGTATTTTTTAAGTATGCTTTTTAAAAATAAAGATTTTTTTTTAAATATAAAAATAGTTATTAAATTATTCTTCTGCTAAGTTGGGGTGCACCTAGCTATTTCTAAGAGCACATCAGTGCACCAGTTGAGAAATGCTGCACTAAAGATTTGAGTATTTACTATTTGTTAATTTTCCTTAAATTATTCAGAATTAATTTTCTTTTTTTAAAATTGTTCTTAAATTATTCAGAATGCTTCCAATTAATTTTACCAAGATTTTATATATTTTTATCATTTTTCTGCTACAGCCTTCAAATTTTCATTATTAATTGATGGTTTTGACAGAACTCCCTCATTTACCAAGACATTTTCAAAGTGTTTACTCAACATTATCCTCAAAAGGTAAAATTTAAATTGCTTATCAAAGCTACTACTTGTGGCTAAACTTGAACTTCTACAAATATCTAACAAAACTTATTTGAATGGCTTTCCATATTTAGCTGAAAAATATAATAGATGTTTCAAACATGAGTATCCAATAAAAATAATGCTTGAAATAATAAATATTGGATGAAAAAATAAATCTATTAATTTTTTTAAAAATTGCTCTGTTCATGTTTTGGATACAAAATTGAGCAGATATGGGTTTTCAAGATAATCTGGATGAGTTTTGTGTTCTTTCCTTAAAAGGCTAAATACTTTTACTCAGGATTGTGTTGTTCGAATGTTTAAATTGTCCTATTTGTAATTGTTCTTCTGCTAATTTTGCCAACAAAACCACTAAAAAAACAAAATTTGTTTCAAGTCCTATGGGATAGGTTTACAATCTAACCCACTCCCCGATCCCATAATTGAAGTAAAGACGTAGAAGCATAAAAGAACAAAAAAGAAATGGCTATCTGTATATATCATAGTATGTTGGACATGAGGCATTTTGAAAATTAGTTATCTAGGATGATATTCCATGATACTTAACTTGAAATGCTGGACTAGTATTTTTTCAGAGGTATCTGGTACTTTCAATTTTACTTTTAACTTGTATAGCATACTAGCTTAAAAGCTGCCCTCTCAGGCAGCATTTAAACCAGCTCCTGCGGAGGGCTCTTCATTGGGCCTTCATCACAATAAGTAGAGAGGAGTAAATGCGATAGGCAACAATAAATTACAAAAGAACTCAAACTTGATTGCTGCATTTAAATATTGCATTAATATCTAAGCTTACCTTTTAAAAGTTCAATGATATTTCTTCTGCCGCCACTTAATTTAAAGGCAATTTGATGTATGTAGGTCCTTACTTTCTGTACAAATAATTATTTTTATTTCATGAGTGACTCTTGCTGGATATTACAATTAATTTTGATTATTCCCAAATTTATATCCAAGTTGTAAAAATTTTTATCGTACAAAAAATTCATCACAAAAAATTACGTAAAAAAAATCACCAAAAACAATTGCAGTAATGAAAACTTGGGAATTGCATGTCTCGATCCAGCCTGGAATATTTTTAATTTGCTCACAGAGTTGGCAAGATTCCAAAATAGTGTGGTATGTTGGGCTACAGCCTCTTGGAGTAAAGTTGAAAACATGGACAATTTTATTTTAAAACACTTATTTGAGAACAGTAATTTTTTTCATTTCAAATGAGCTATTGAATGTTAGAGAGTTGTGTCCCTTTAAGTTGAAAGTGTGTGGCTCAGTTGCACACTGACATTCACATTTATTATAGAGATGATTTTACTGACTTGATTCTGGTAGCACATATTTAAATTTATACAAGTTAAAACTTAACAGATAATATACTGTCAGTTACTTAAGTAACCTACCCTAACAAACGTATCAGCAGTTAATCCTATACCCAACTCTTACTCTTTTTAAATTTTCTTTTCTAAGTGATGGAGAGAGCTGATATGGAAAGAGGAATAGAAAATACAAAAGTGAACCCACCTAATTTCTTTAACTGAATAGAAATGTCTCAGTACAAAGGGGTTTCATGTTTTCCACGGGTTGTTGTCTCAAGGGCTTTATGTAGTCCTTTACTGGAAAGTTAAATTTGAATATTTGTTTTGTTCAAATTCTTCTTTAGAAAATGTTGAAAGAATTTTTTGTCTTGGGCTTGAATCTGCCTATAGCTGTCGGCTCTTCTTTTTCCCATATGCCCCATGATGATTTATGACCACTTTCGCTAGACAAATCCTCCAGTCTCAATGCTTCCTCTTCAATGATTAATTGCTTTCTGAAGCCATCTGCTAACTGCAGTCCTTTTACTGAACAAAGGATGTTCACACCAATTCCATCCAGATTTTCACAAGGGCTTAAGAGCACATCTCTCATTCGCCAGTAAATATGAAAATTTATTTCTCCATAAATTCAAAAAATGAATCCACAACAATTCATAAAGTAACAATTTTGGCAGTTCTTTAACCGCTAATTCTAAAATAGATTTTCACACAACTGTAACAATTTATTTTTACAAACCCATCTGGCACAAAAATACACTTTTCTCAAAGGTATGTGGAAAAAAAAAAAAAAAAAAAACAACCTAGATGATTTAAACATTATATTTAGTACTCTAAAGACTAATTAATAAAATTTTTATAGAGACCATCTTAAGTTAATTCATAAGGTAACACTGTACAAATGAATGTCTATGCCTCCTTGCCAATATTCCATAGTCTAATCCACTTATTTTTTTAAATAGGTGTAGATAGTATCTGTCTATATTTCTGAGATGAGGTATTATATACACTATTTACATTATTTGGACTATTGTCCTCATCTTTGTGGCCATATTTATTACGTTTTGGCCGTTGTACACTCCAGCCTTCTTTCAGTTTGACATTCCAACCAACTGAATAAGGCCAGAGTGTACAACGGCCAAAACATTGTAATAAATATGGCAACAAAGATGAGGACAATAGTCCGAATAATGTAAATAGGTGTTGATAGGTCTATCTATCGCCCAGTCCATACTCTTTCCATTTCTTTTGGACAAGAGTAGAGGCTTATTCTTTGTTTCCAGTTTATGATGGGGTTTCTGGTTCCTTCTTCTGAGTCCTTTGTAAAGGTGTCTATCATTCATTTTTGATGATATGACTGGCTTGTGGCTATGACTAATCATACTGTAGGTACCGGGTTGGCAGTTTTCTGGTTACTGATTCCTGACTGATAATTAGGAGACTGAACTCTTGGGTACCACTGAGAGGCAACTCTAATCAACAGTTACATAATAATAGGCTTCTTGCAGTACTGTGTCATAGATGGAAAGGTCTCTCTGCAAGCACTTTTGGTTGGTAACCATGTGTCACACTATGCTGCAGTCTGCACCAATTCCCAGCCAGCTCATATTACCTTAGATGATCAGTAGCTATTAGTATTCTTGGCATTTCCCATCTTTATAACATACCATGACCAAAAGTAATAAATCAAATAAAACTAAAGCAGCTCACCAAATGACTTTCTCCAGTATTTGTGCTATGTGTACCAATTTCTGCAATGGGGTATCATTTCTCTTGGAACACACTGCAGACATCCTGGCTCTTTGTGAAACTAATTTGAATTGATCAATCTCTTCCAATAAATTCTTTCTTCCTGGCTATCTTCCTCTCTTTCAGAAGGACTCTAGTGTCCACATGCATGTTTGTAAACATCTACTGGCTCTCTTGTCTCTCCAGACTATTCTTACTTGAGCCTGGCATCCCGCTCTCACCCTTTCACTGTCGAAACTCCTAAATGTAGCCATCTCTTCTACTCCAATAGCTTCATGTCTCGCACCTCTCGCCTGTGGAACTCCCTTCCCTATTCCAGTTTCCCTGAGAGCTATAATCTCCAGCTATTCAAATGTAATGTCAATCGACATCTCCAGTTGCCTTGATCTATCCACTACCCTTCTCCTCATCCTTTCTTCTATCACTCCTATCTGATCTTGCTCCAAATTTTCTGTAACCCCTTGCATGCTAGTGGCTTCTCGCCTTGCTTGGGATGAAACGCTTAAAAAAAAAAAAAGCCTATAACCCCTAGACTTACTTATCTTTTCTTCCTTTATTGTTCCTCTTCCTCTCATGTTTGCTGTATGCTAGATAGAATTTTTGATAGTAAAAATAAGGTTCTCTCTCTGCACTCATCTGCAATTATCTTTGTGTTAGGCATCTTTAATGCCCACCATGTCAGGTGGTTTAATTATTCTAATGCCACTGACCTCACTTGCATCCAGACCATGAATGTTCCTGTTACTCAATCTCTCACTGAAATAGTAGACTTCCCCATGCATTTCCCCAATAATTTTGGCAGTCACACTTCTCTACTTAATCTTTTCCTTACCTTTACCCTGGACTCATGTCGTGCTCTGCAGCTCTACTCTCTTGGTAACTCCATCCATGCAGCAATGTCAATAGATACCTCTTTCTGCTCACTCAACAGTTACAAACCTCTGATTAACAGAACCTCTTTCTGTTATTAAGACAGACACTGATTGGGATTTGTCTCATGATTTCAATTACAATGCTCATTGGAATGATACTTTTAATCATCCTGTTCAGAAATGTGCCACTCTTCCTGGGTGAAATCCAGCATTGAAGCTTTCATTTCAGTACAGAAATGCCAAGTGAAACCATGATCATCTCTTTGGTTCTCACCAGCCTGCTCAGCTGCTATAGTCCACAGGAATTACTTCTGGCTTCAAGTGACAGGTTTGGACATCTCTTTGTCATTGTTCGCAATAAGTGTAAGTATGTCATCAAAGAAGCAGCATCATTATTTGCTGATAGAATGAGACACTGTATAGTCTCTTGAGATTCTTAACAAAATTCAAAGAAGGGTCTGTATGTATTGGTGACCAGTGTTGTGGAGTAAATAAGATATCCCCAGTAACAAAAATGAACTAGGCAAGCCACCTTAAATAAAGAACTCGAAGTGAGTCAGTAGATGTCCATTGGAGTCAGGCAGTCTGCTATCTGGCTCATGACAAGACAAAACAAAACCTCTGTCTTCGGGCAGAGAGTGATAAGATTTCCATCTTTGGGCAGAGGATGACTCAGTCAGGCTCTGTCTTCAGATAGAGACTTGGCTGAGAAAAACAGACCAGTTCTATACCCGAGCACACTTTTGTGGGGGCTGGGTAAATTTTGACCTATGGCCTGGGTGGAAACACTCAGGTTTCCCACAGTAAACTTGATCTTGTGGCACATCCACAGTGGGGCAACCAGTAAATACCAGTCTGTTGGAGTCAAGCAGTTTGCTGAAGAATCATAGCTGACTTGTCAAACTCTGTGCAGAGAGGAACTCAGATGAGGTTTTGCCTATGGGCAGTGTCTCATCTCTGGAGGTAGACAAACCTACCCTGTATATGTGAGGCCTATGGGGAATTTTTGCCCAAGCCTACAGACTCAGACTTGCCACACATAAAG